TAGTGGCCGCTCCTTTGACTGACTTGATGCGCCTTGACACCCCATGGGAGTGGACAGACAAGTGCGAGGCTGCTTTCAGACATCTGAAGCATGCGTTGATGCACCATGAGGTCTTGAAACTCCCCGATCCTGACAAGCTGTTTATAGTAACCACGGATGCTAGCCAATATGGCATAGGCGCCGTGCTCGCGCAGCGGGAGGGGCCAAAGTTGAGGCCAGTCGAGTACATGTCCAAAAAGATGTCGTCTCAGAAGTTGGCTAAGTCCACCTATGAGAAGGAGCTCTGTGCGATTTACAAGGCACTGACCCATTGGAGACATTACCTCCTTGGGAGGTTCTTTGGGAGGTTCTTCATTGTCAGGAGTGATCATCAGACCCTGAAGTGGATGAAAGAAACAGACCGGAAAGCACAAAGAAAGGAAGAGAGTTTCGACTCCGCGTTTTCAGTTTGGTCAAACCAAATACGAGATCCCCACGAGGCTAATCCGATCGGCACCGCGAAATTATAGTAAATCAGACAGCAAGCAACGACATACAACAATGGAGAATTGATTGGTGTATAAGGGTGCAGGTCCAACATCGGATTGTGCGTTATCAGTCCGTAAAACGTCTCAGCCAAGATCCCCTCCGCAGCGAGTGCTCTAAAGAAAAGAAAACAACAACAACGAAGTCCAGATAGAAAAAAGAGCGACTTTGCAGCAGGCCGCGGTTCGACACCATCATCACAGTAATGTTTCATCATCATCATTAGGGTGCTGCTCGTCACCATCATCATCAACAGTGTGTGGTTCGACATCATCATCACGGTAATGGTTTGTCATCATCATCAGGGTGCTGCTCACCATCATCATCATCAGGGTACTGCTCGTCATCATCATCAACGCGTACGTCTCCACTCCTGTTTGGCGCTAGTATCATCATCATTATCAAGGAGCCGTTCATCAGGGGTGCTTCTCGTCACTCATCGTTGTATACCAACATCAATAATTCACCATCATAGGGCGCGGTTGGCACTGGCAAAGCTCGTTATCATAGGGCGCTGGTCATCCCTATCATCATCATCATCATCATCATCATCATCATCATCATCATCATCATCATCATCATCATCAGTTTGTAATCATAGGGGCTGTTGGTGCTGCTCTTTAGTATGATCAGCATCATCATTCTGTCTTCATCATTACCATTATCATCATCATCATCAGTTTGTTTTCAATCAGCAGGTGAGTTGGTCGTCACCATCATACTCATCTTCATCATCTTCAGGGTGTTGCTCATCGTCATCAGCAAAATCAAAAAAATATCATCTACCTCTTCTCCATCGTAAGTTTCAGAAATTTCTGATTCTTCCATTCATATTTTAGGAATCCTATTTCCTAGGTTCTTTGTTTTTTCTTTTTTCTCCACTATTAATTTTCGATTCCCCTTTGGGCGCACTAATGAATTTATTTTTGCACGGGTTGGGGGCTGGGGTTTGTGTGTCATCAATAACTGTAGTCGGCTGCATCGGATCGTTCTTGGGGGGTGAACGGTAGGAAGGGGGTGGGGGGAGCTCTACCTTGCAGGGGCATCACAAGGTGGGGTGTGAATGTCTCAAAAAGGGTAGAGGCGGAGTAGGGGGTTGCCGTATTCTGGGGCAGGGGCTGGTGCGTGGGGCAACATCAGTCCCGGCGGAGGCAGAAATGGGCAAGGGGTGTGGGGGCATGCTTTAGGTGGGAACTGCGTGCTCCTGGGGAAAGGGGGGTAGAGGGTTGGTCCTATATTGGGGCTGAGGGAGAGTGGGTGACTCTCCTCGGCGGGGGAAGTGTAGGGCTGAGGGGGAAGGGGTAGGGGGAGGGAGGGCGATCTCTCTCGAAGAAGTCTATCATCTAGCTTACTATTTCTTTCCATTTTGTTTGCCTCTCGAGGAGGTTGTAGGAATAGGTGCTAACTGGCAAGTCGTCTGTGATCCTGCGAAGGGTGGTCGAAAATTCGGTGGCCCTCGAAGACCGATGCTGGAGCAATGCTGGCCGGAGCCGGAGCCAGGTGGCGCAACTCTGTGACCTAGCTTAGTGGGGGCATGAGGCCTGGTAGAGGGGGCTTTGGGGGGCTGTTTGCGGGGCCAGTCTCAGTGGTCATCGGGGGTCGTAACTGGAGCAATGCTGGCCGGTGCTGGAGCAAGGTGGGGCAACTCTGTAACCTAAGCTGATGGGAGCATGAGGCCTGGAAGAGCTTCGGTTCGTGCTGAAAACAGCCATGCTGGTGGTGGTCGTAGGTGGATTGAATAGGTTTCACCTATCTGATTCGTGGTTGGGAGGCTTTTTGACACACATATTCTAGTGATTTGGTAGAGTCTGAATAGTGGGAAAAAAGTCGGTTGTTCTTATGAATGTCTTAGGACTCTAGGGACTCTTAGCAACCCATCTTAGGCGGTTTCGATGCTGTTATACTCAGTGATCTGCGGCTGTTCAATGCCAGAACGACGCTGGCCGGTGCTGGGGTGTTGCTGTTGCATACTTCGATGAGTATGGGCAGAACCAAAGATCAACCAATATAGGATGAGCATGTATGCAGCGGAAGTCTGATAAACGAACTGACTCACATAGACCGACTCACATAGCATCACTCCACACACATACAATCATGAGATGGTGGGGTCTGGGTCATTCATAGACGATACCCAGATCCCGTACACACATACACAGATGAAAGGTGGGAGGAGAGACGAAGGAGGTAGGAGGTAGATCACACCGATAGGTCACAAAGATAGAGTCTGAGAGGTTTCCGAAATGGTAGTCCAGAATGTCATATAACAAGATCAAAATGTCGAGGACCAAAGGTCACCAATGTCGAAGATAACAGAGTCCAGATGTAACCGGTGTCCAACTGTGATGCAGCCGAGTATCAACCTCAACAATCTCCAAGTCTCCAATCAGGTAAGTACCACTGTCTCGTATCACCAAAATCCAACTCTGATCTCTGTCCAACTGGATAGTCTCCAATCTGAAGAAGAAGAAGAAGAAGAAGAAGAAGAAGGAAGAGGAGAGAGAGAGAGAGGGGACTGGCGAGGGAGAGGAGGAGAGACCCTCCAAGCTCCCGATACCTCAGGCGGTAATAACCGCCGTGCAAGCTCAGTCGCCCGCTGCTGCTCCGCTCGCTGCTGCGCTATGCTGCGCTCCTGCTTCAGCCCCTGCGCTAAGTTTAGCGCATCAAACAGTGCACTAGGACTGACCATGCCGTGCCGGTAGAGTTCCGGTAGGCCGATCCCACTACTGAGGCGGATACCGGTACTTGTACCGGTGGGCAATGGTCTGGCCTCAATGCTGCGAGGCCAGGCCAGACCCTGAACCGTCCAGATGGACGGTACAGCCTCAATCGGCGGGCGGCAGCTTCAAGAGCACCGCCAGGCCCAAACGAAGTGTCGTTTGGGCCTACCCGATGGGTGATAGTCCAAACTCAGGCCTTTAGGGCCTGTAAACCCCAAAGGTCGGGCCTTTAGGCCCTGGTGTGTCCCTCCGGCCCTAAGTCGGGTCCGGTAGGACCCGTGTGAGTCGAAGATGTAACACACTCCCCCTCTTAAAAGTACGAGCTACCTGCGAGGGCGAAGTTGTCTGTCCGATACCGGGGTGGGTCGAGCGGGACGAGCTGCGTCCTTAGCAAGGCGTCGCTTCTCATAGTCTGCGAAGATGAGGGGTGCARAAGTCTGCAAATCKTCACTGGAGATCCACCGAGTGTCATCAGGCGCACATTGCTTGAATGTGACCTTGTACTGCCTTGGCTTGTTGCCATACTTGCGGTGCGTGATGACTCGGTCAACTTCCTGATGTCCGTCCATAGAAGGCGGATCCTGTGATCGACGTCCGGGGAATTC